GAAAATCAAAAGCTTGCCGATTCTTCCTTCCACTTCAAAACCCACTTATATATATTCTCTAGAATGTCATTTAATTTTCATTTAACAATTTAATTATATTCTGGATCGATCACGTGATTGACGAAAAAAAAGTTATAAGCGTTATTAAATCTTTTGTAAGCTTGTAAATCATGGAGTGCAAGTTAAATTCTTTAAATTTTTATCATGAAGTTTCGTAATATTTACAAATAGAAAAAAGTATAAAATGAAAAGGATAAATAAATAAAGCACATACACATTTATACTACATGCTGCTTTCTCTTTTTTAAAAAAATTGCAATAATTTTTATCAGAACTCCTATACAATTTTTTTATAAAGACTCTGAAGTCTTACCTAAAATTATCACTGTCACATTGCTTTCAAACTTTATTTGCAAACCTGGCTTTTGAGTTGAAGGGACTATATATTAACAATTTTTTTTACAAGATTAAAATCCCGATGTACGTAGAAAAATTAGTTTGCAGTGAGAATTTTAATTAGTTAAGTGTCCAATTTTTCAACCCATTTTAGTGAAAGTTAGGCTAGCTATATATATACGTGCCTACATTTGTAGCCTCTTCTATACTTCCTTGTGTTCACATTCAACAAATAAAGGGTGAGGAATAGTAGTAGAAGTCTAACACTAGTCTATCTCATCCCTTTGTTAAAGTCAATTACAATTATATAATCACATATACGATAAGTTGAGCCATTTTTAATGCAAGATTAAAGAAAATTAAATCTCAAACATATGATCAGTGTATAAATATTTGATATTGTAGGATTTAAATAACTTATGTTGATTAAATTTTTGGTCAAAAAATGAGTATTACTCTATAACAACACAAGTTTCATGCCGTCCTTGAATAAAATGAAGCGAGAGATTAAGGAAGCGTAATGAGTATTACTCTATATATGATTTATGACATTACAAATAAGTATACTATTCATTTAATGATTATTATAAATAAGCATAATAAATTTATTTTTAAAAGTATTTAAGTGATGATAGTGAATAATTTATTTATTTTAATGTTATAATTAGCAATTTCACAGCTTTAAATTAAAAAAATAATTAAGTGAATGAATGATATTGAATATAGAAAAATATATTAAGAGAATATACGGAGAGAGCCAAATTTATAAGCACAGTGTCCGTAGCATGTTATTGTTAAATGAAGCTACAGGTTGAATGGGACAACCAAGTCCTATTCGTACACGTGTCAACCAAACAACCTTGGGTTCCAGCTGGCCAGTCCTTCCTCAACAAAAAAAGAGAAAATCACACCAAAGTACCCTTTTTTTTAGGAGAAAATCTTGGTTTAGGTAGTCATAATTGATTATAGATGGGCACGAAAGCACGCCCATATATTTATTCAATCAAAATTGCAAAATATTTGTAAATAAGTTACTCTTCTAATTTTTTTATAAATTATTTTTATTAATCTCATTAATATTAATATAAAAAATTAAAAAAATAAAAATTTATAAAATTTTAAATATATCTATATATAATAAATTTAAAAAGTAATGTTATTTTATTTTTTTATTTCATAAAAAATAATTTTAAAAATAATTTTTAATATTATTTAAAAAATTATACCGTAATTTAAAAATAAAATTAATAAATATTTTAATTATATTTTATAAATAAAATCAGGAGAAATATATCTTAATAAGTTACTTGATAATATTTAAAATCACATATTTTTTATATTTTTTATTTAATAAAGTATTTTAATTTAAAAATTTTATTATTTTAAGGTATTTTTTTAAAAAAAATTATTAATTACTTTCTTGAAAAACTTAAAGTATTTTATATTAACATAACACTTAAAAAAATGTCTTATTATATTGAATGGGGAAGTATAGTTAGCATGAGCCATGACATGTTAATAATTATTTTTTTAATACAAGAAAAATAAATAATAATTATAAGTTAATATTAATATCAATTTATTTTTAACATTGGGAAACATTTTAATTAGTTTTCAAGGTTTTGATATTTTTGAATTTTAAAATCATCAATAACGATAACAATATTTATTAGAAATAAAAAAATTAATTTATAGAAATAATTTTATTCATAAATATTAAATATTTATATTTTATATTTCATTTCATATTTTATAAGTATTCTAGTTTAGTTTAAAAATAATAATTACAACATTGAAATTGTAAAAATAATTGTAACTTTGTAATTTTACATTTCTTTGTAATCGATGATAATATTAAATTGTTATTTAGAAATTCAAATAAGAATAAATAAACAATAAATAAAATTAAAAAATAATATTAATTATTCAAATTTTATCTTTATATTTAGGACTGAACTTGTTTTTTTTAACACAAAGGAAAAATGAATATATAAAGAGAAATACATTTTGGTAAAGGAAAAGCAGAAAAAGTCTACTGCACACAACTCGCCCGCACAATCTCTGGGCTCGTGAAACGGGCTGTTGACTGGGAATGTAGCGGGACGCCGTTATTTGCTCTGTTACCGGTAAACGCAAGTAAGCGACGAATTAAGTAAGCGTGTGCCGGTATTTTGTGGAACATCAGCCACCAAAGCGCGCGAGGGCAAGCGTGTGCTTTAAGATTAACACCGTGTTTACCGGATTTTGCCGGTTAATTATTTTATTGCCTTCACAACGGCTTCACATCCAATTAGTTTCGCCGTTTTTCTTGTACGACAAGCACCCCTTCTGCCAATTTCCTCCACTCACCCTGACACAAACAACAATTCCATCTTCCGTCTTCCGTCTTCCACGTTTTAAGATATTTTGTTGCCTTTTTTCAGGAAAAACATTTTTAACAAAAATGCATAGATATTTTTTTGACCCCGACGATAATGTATGAAGGTAATATTAAGAATGAGTTTCACCTCACGAAAAAAAAAATACTCCCTCCATTTAAAAATATAAAATATTTTCTCAAGAGTTAAATATTTAAAAGTATATGATATTTTTAATTTTTTAAAGTATAATTACTGCCTTTTTTTAAAATATTCTTATTGATAGTGACTTTATATTTATTATAGATATTTAATAGAGATAAATATAAAAAAATAAGGTTAATTTAAAAGTAGATAACTATTTTATTAAAAATAAAATTCAATTAAAAATATTTTATATTTTTAAAGAGAGGGAGTATTTGAAGTTATTTTTATGATATTCTTGTCAACCAAAATATTTTACAAATACTTGGTTGATTTGACTACAAATATGACTCGTGATGAGTAGATTATTATTATTATTATTGAAAAAGCATGAAGATTATGCTCAAATTTTTCACGCGAAGTATAAATTAAGAAAAAATGTTTATGACTTACTATAAATATTGTAATTATATATAAATTTTATATTTCCTTCATCTTAAATTATAAAATACTTTTAAAAAAAGTTCAACATCTCAAAATATAAGGTGCTTTGATAGAAATAAAATTTTATTAATAATATTTTTTTAATATTATCCTTTTCATATATTTTCTTTATTCAATATTTTTTTATTAACGAAGTATTAAATGAAGTGTATTTTTTAAAATTTATATTTTTATTTAAAAAAATTGTAAAATATATTTAATGAGTTTTATTGGTATATGATATTTTGTTTAAAAATGTTTTATAATTAAAACGGAGGAATATTATATACGCACACATAAATAGATTAGTTGGCTTTACTTTAATGCATCTGGGATATCTATTTTTTTTTTTGGGGGGGGGGGGTTTGGAAGAAATAATCCCCATCAATAATAACGCATCAATTCTCTTTCAACTTTCAAGCGTGAAATTAGGATTGCAAGCCCTGCCTACTGAGGTGAGCTGGTTAAATTGATTACGAATTTCGTTATTCAACTTTTTAAAGGCAAAAATAGATTATTCATCGTCAAATTAGTAGGACGCCTGTCAATTCCAAATTGGATTGTATAAATTATTGATCCACACGCGAATATAACCTTGCAGGTAAGAAATAATAATTGAACTTACATGCATAGTTTATTTTCTTTTTTCTTTTAGTTATTTTTGTATCCTTCATTTCTTTCATATACAATATAATCATCAATCAAGATTAATATTACAAATTGACATAAACAAAATCCCTCATTATTTAGATTTATTCAATGCCAGGCACCTAACTCATTTGTACTTATTAAAAAGAACTGAACTTGTAACTGCTTTTTTCAATTTCTTTTTTTAGTGTGTATGGTGTTGACTTGAACACCAATGCATCGAAGTTGTATGCTTTGGCATGTTAAATAAATGTCAGGAAAAAAACAAGAAAAATATATATGTAAATTATTATAGTCTCATCTAATTTTAAATTAGTTCTCCCAATTTATTTCATTTTAATTGATTCATTATAGTTTAATCAATTAATTTTTTTAATTCCTCATTTTTTTAATCCCAGAAAATTAAAATCCTTTAATTTTTATTTTTAAAATGATTAAAGATTTTTATATTTTTATTAAATGATTGTATGATTTAAAAGTAATTACATAATTTTTATAACTTAAAATTCATTTAATTAGATTGCCTTTCAAACATTTTTATACATATAGAATTTTCATTAAAAAATTAATAAAAATGTAAACAGTGTATTAAATGAAAAAATTTTAATTTTGGCTAAAAGTATTAAATTAATTTTCTTTTAATTATGAGAGTTTTTTTGTTTTGTGAAATCTAATAATTTATTATTAATTATAATTTTTAAGGGTTAATATATATAAAATATTAAACTATAAGGGCTTAATCAAAATTAAATTATAAAAATTTAATTTAAAATTAAGTAAAATTATGATCACCTACGCATGTATTTTTTTAAAAATGTGATATAATATGTCAGCACATTTCCAATCGTGCCCTCCATTAATATCTCTATTCACCTCTTTGTCCTTTTCCCCCCGAGTAAACCCAGCTTGACATGTGTGACCCTCTCTATATAAACCACTCTCTCTTCGTCCTCTTTCCCACACGCCGAATAACCCAACGCAAACATACCCTTCCCTGCTCCCCCGCATCTCTCCGACCATTACTTGCTTGCTCTCTCTCCTTACAATTTCCGTGTTAGAATCAGAAACCCACCATGCCTGAAGCTCCAAAACAGTCCACAGGCTCCAACCTTGAAGAGAGCAACAAGAAGACTCTTGAGTTCATCGAGGACGTCACCTCCAACGCCGACCAAGTCCAGGGGAATGTCCTTTCCGAAATCCTGTCCCGTAATGCCAACGTGGAGTATTTGCAGAGATACGGCCTCAATGGCGCCACCGACAGCGACACCTTCAAGAAGCGCCTCCCCGTCATCTCCTACGAGGACCTCGAACCCGACATTACCCGTATCGCCAATGGCGACAACTCCCCAATCCTCTGTTCCAAACCCATCTCCGAGTTCCTCACCAGGTCCCCTCTCAAAATCCTCACTGTGAATTCCCCTGTTTTCACAGTATTAAAATCTTGCTCCTCAAGGTTTTTGCGTCTCTGTTTTTCTTTGATTTTGCAGTTCTGGAACTTCCGGCGGAGAGAGGAAGTTGATGCCGACGATCGAGGAAGAGCTGGGAAGAAGGTCGTTGCTGTACAGTTTGTTGATGCCGGTGATGAGCCAGTTCGTTCCGGGGTTAGAGAAAGGGAAAGGAATGTACTTTCTATTCATAAAATCGGAAGCGAAAACCCCAGGAGGACTGGTGGCTCGTCCCGTGTTAACCAGCTACTACAAAAGCTCTTACTTTAAGAACAGACCCTACGATCCTTACACCAACTATACGAGCCCCAACGAGACGGTGCTCTGTTCTGATTCTTACCAGAGCATGTATTCGCAGTTGCTGTGCGGGCTTTGCCAGCACGACGACGTCGTTCGGGTCGGGGCCGTTTTCGCCTCAGGCTTCATTCGCGCCATCCGGTTCCTCGAGAAACACTGGGCCCTTCTCGCTAATGACATCCGCACAGGGACCTTGAACTCGCAAATCACTGACACATCGGTGCGAGACTGTGTCATGAAGATCCTCAAACCCGACCCGGGCTTGGCGGACTTCATCGAGTCCGAGTGCAGCAAGAGCTCGTGGCAGGGGATTATAACCAGTCTGTGGCCTAACACCAAGTATGTGGATGTTATTGTTACAGGGACAATGTCACAGTACATTCCCACGTTGGACTACTACAGCAACGGCCTCCCTCTTGTCTGTACCATGTACGCTTCCAGCGAGTGTTACTTCGGAGTCAACCTCAAGCCTCTCTGTAAACCCAGCGAAGTCTCTTACACTCTTATCCCCAACATGTGTTACTTTGAATTCCTCCCTGTAAATCGCAGCAATGGCGCCCTCAACGACAAAGAACAGCAAGAATTGGTCGAGCTCGTCGATGTTAAGGTCGGTCAAGAATACGAGCTCGTCGTCACCACGTACGCTGGTAAGATTTCCGTCCTCTTTCTGGTTGATTAATTTATACATTGTTAGAATGTCTAAACATGAGTGTTTTGCGAGCAGGGCTGTATAGGTACAGGGTGGGGGACATTCTGAGGGTGTCGGGGTTCAAGAACAAGGCGCCGCAATTCAACTTCGTATGTCGGAAAAACGTGGTGCTGAGCATAGATTCGGACAAGACGGACGAGGTGGAGCTGCAGAACGCGATGAAGAACGCGGTGACGCATCTGGTGCCATTCGACGCGGCGGTTTCAGAGTACACGAGCTACGCCGACACGTCGACGATCCCGGGGCACTACGTGCTGTACTGGGAGCTTACCCTGAACAGGTCAACTCCGATTCCGCCGTCGGTGTACGAGGACTGCTGCCTGACGGTGGAGGAATCGCTGAACAGCGTGTACCGACAAGGGAGGGTGTCGGACAAGTCGATCGGACCGTTGGAGATAAAGATCGTGGAACAGGGGACGTTCGATAAGCTTATGGATTATGCAATTAGCTTGGGAGCTTCGATAAATCAGTACAAGACGCCGAGGTGTGTGAAGTTCAAGCCTGTGGTGGAGCTTTTGGATTCGAGAGTCGTGAGTTGTTATTTCAGTCCAAAGTGTCCCAAGTGGGTTCCGGGACACAAGCAATGGATCAACCTGAACAATAACTGAGGATGATTGCGTTCATTAATTAATTAATGTTGTGGGTCTTTTTAGGGAATTATTAATCAATCACTTTTTATTTTTATTTTTAGGGTAATTTTATGTTGAAGGACTCCATTTTTACGTTTGGCGTATTTTTAATTAGCTCCACCACTACCACCACTCCTGTAAAAAGCAATTTCAAACAAGCTTTCTTCTTCTTCTTTCTTATGATGAATCATGCTGTTAGGTAAGGTTTGGTTGGAATTAGAGTTTTGACTCTATCTGGGAATTTGCCTATTCAAGTATCGTGGACTTGTTTCCAATTACACATGCTTTTAATCTACCGCTAATCTCAGCCTGAGGTGGTCAAATTGGGAAAAAGGAAGAAGAAGAAGAAGAAAAGTAATCGAAAGAAACGTACCACTTCAAGAACCTTTTTCCCCCCAATTGCAAACAAAATACCTATTGATGTTAAATGTCAAGTTATAGAGGAAAAAGAGAAGATACGTACGTGTGAATTAAAAAATGCATATTTGTTATGCATCTGTTGTCAGTTAAGAAATATTACGAGCTAAGCTAATGAACAGTGAGCGGGTGTGAGATTTGCCTGCTAAAGAGGGTTCTTTGGTAAACAAATATTGCAACTTGATTGATTAAGACTTGTCCGATACTATTTTTATAATCAGCTTAGTGGGAAAGGAGGTAAAAAAAAAAGGGTAGGAAGGAAGGTGAAAGAGGCTTGTTAGCAAGAGCGTGTTGTCTCAATCTCTGTCTGTGTCTTTTAACAAAATAGCAGTGTGCGTCGGATTCTCCCACCAGGTCGAGAAACTTGAACAAAACCCACCGGTGGAGCCTTGCGAGGAAGAAGGCTTGTGCTAGAGAGTTAGTGGTTGTGGCAGACTGTACCTACAGAGGAACCAAGGAATCAGAGCGGGCAGGAAATTTGCAGAGAGAGAATGAAAATAATGCCAAAAAAAGTTGACCTAATTAATAAAAATTTAAAATATAACTCACAAAATTATAAAATCAAATTTTATCGGTTAATATAAAAATTTTATTAATAAACAATATATAAATATTTTTGTAAATATTTTTTGATCTTAAAAATATGCCTTGCTCTTTAATAAATTATTGAGACCCAACTCATTTAAGTTTTTTATAATCATAAAGAAAGAATGTGAATGATAAAGTGCTCATTTGAACATATCTATAAGGTAAAGAAAATTTTTATTTTGATCACGTTTATCAAGTGCTCTTAATGATTATTACATTTATTTTTATTTTTTTGTCCTTATTAAATGCTGGAAAGTGAAGTATTTTATTTTTAAAGTATGTATATTTAATAAAAGTAAATTAAAAACTGGTTAAACTTTTAAATAAAGTTAAAAAATTTAATATTAAAATTAAAAATAACTCATAAATAAAGTGAAACAAATAATTAAATGGAATGGAGCGAGGCAGATAAAGCGGAATCAGGCAATATCACTCTCCCTCCTTCCCTGTTTGCCAATGCTCTGCAAACGAACAAGCAACAAAAAAACAAAAGCTGTTTCTCTTCTCTTTTTCTTCTCATGTGTAATCAAAATCTTTTGATAATTATATTTTATAAAAATACGTTGATAATGTGCCGGAGTTTTCTTTGAAAAAACCCAAGGGCATTCCAATATTTGATGTTAGATTTAATTCTATCATGCGATAAAAAATTGGTAAGGGAAAAAAAACTAAAAAGACATCCCAAACTTACCAGGCATGGCACTATTGATGATAATAATGCTAGCTTAGGATGCCTGTGAATTTGCATGGTTTGATGGGAATTCATAAGTACATAAACATACCAATGAATTTCGGGTACAACTGGGCAAACCCGACACTCAGACTAAGACGAAAGTTACTATCTTGATATTGGCCAACCCGCATTAATTTATTAATATTCATGATTCAATCAATTTCAACTAAGCCAAATGCATTTAGATTTAACGAATTAAAAAAAACAAAAAGAAAAGAAAAGTTAATTTTTTATATGTCAGAAGTCATTTAAAAAGTTGATTGCAATAATATGATACTCTTATACATGCCTGATGTCAATGAGGCAGATAAATCCATATATGTATGACATGAAATGAAAGCATTAATCAGGAGGTTAGGGTTTAGTGTCAGCATAAAATTGGGTGCTTGTTCCTTTTAATATTCATTTTTGTCTTACTGAATATATTTAATTGGTGTAATCATCTCCCCTAATTCTTGATTCAACCTTTTTCCTAACTCTTTGTTTGCCCATTTTCAGCGTCAAATTAAAACTCCTATGTCATGATATTTCTCCTACTTGGAATTGGAATTGTTCTTTCACACATGATGTGCGTGAACGTATATATATTTTCATTATTCTGCCTAATTATATCATAAGACCAGAGATTAATTAAGGAGAACCACAGTTACAAGTTACCAACAATAATTAGTAGTTACAAAAAAATTTACATTCAAATCCAATAATATATCAACTTGGAAATGTTTTAAGAATTAAAATGAAATTTATCGAATTTTTATTTTTTTCACTGTACAGAAACCAAGTTGTAGATGAGGAAAAAAAAAAAACTAATCCAGATGCAGGAGGAGACAATTCCACGTAAGTGTAAGATCGCCCTGTCTGTGGGGCCCACTTCCCATGCAGTCACGGTTCTCTATGAGCGTAGAATCCGGCACTAAAGCTACTGGATTGGCCATCGACCCTCCCCATTGGTGGGGACCACCCCAACACCGCTTGCCACGTCTCCGGTACACCGTTGACCTACGGTACACGATTCCTCTCTTTCTCATCCTCAAGCTAAAAGGGAGAAAGGGAGAAAGTGGGAGTCTGGGCCCCTACTCAAGGACTAGCCAATCACAGCCCAGAAAACCACGTGGTTATGTCATCTCGGATTTCTGCTGCACGCGAGTGATCCGATCCAGTTGATACGGGTCTTCGTGCTTTTGGTGGGGTGATCACCTGCTTTTGGCAGCGTGGAAGACAAATGTACCATCTAATAAACAGTGGCCATATGACAATGGAGCACGGGTTTTTCTCAGCAGTTGTCTTATTTGGCAGATGAATTACCGCGAAAGAAGAGTTATTGCGTGGGGCTTAGCCGTATCTGATCATAATTCTTTCCTTATCCATTTTCGCTCAAATCGGCTGAAAGTGGATGTTTCTTTTTCCTAAAGAAGAAAAGACAGAATTTTCAGCTGATTTGATGTTTCAGATAAATAGAATTCTTTTTAAATTCTTTGCTAGTCGCAATGTACTCCTTGCGCTTTAAAATATAAACATTTTTTTAATTAATTTTAATTTAAAATATAAATCATTTAATATAGTTTTTTATTTTATTCTTTATATTTTTAATTTAAGTATTTGGGTAAATGCATCACTCACTCACTATACCTTTTCATGTATAATTTTTAATATTTTTTATTAATAAAATATTAAATGAAGAGTATTTTTTAAAATTTTTATTTTAAAAAAATAATGTTATAAAATATATAAGTTTTATTAATATGTTAGATTTTATCTAAAAGTACCTCATGATTTAAAATGGTGAGAGTACTTGCAAAATAAAACATGTATTATTTCTGTTTACAATTTAACACTAATATTAATTGATAATTAATAATCTATGCACTGGCACAAGATTATAATGCTATGTTATTTTTTTTAATTAAAGTAAACACATGAAGATTGTTTTTTATTTGTTCCCGTGTTGATTTTAAGCATAAAAATAAATAATTGGAATGAAGAGGAGCCGGAGAGCTTATGAATCAACTCATATCATAAAAAATTTGAAATTATAGTCTAAAATTTAACCCTCCCCAGTCACCAAGTGAAAAGGTACTGTTCGTACAAATTTTCTATGCTTGAGAGCAATGGCGGAATTAGGTGTAGAGTGAGGGTAGGCATGTTTCCTCCCTCTTCTCATATGTTTCCAAGATTTCGCATTGCTGATGAGCACACAAGGATAATCCTAGCTTTCATTTTGTTTTAAAATAATCTCTATCCTTAATTTTAAATTAATTTTTTAATATTTTAAATATTTTATTTATGAAAATAAAAATTATAAAAATTTTTAATATTAAATTTGGATTGCTCTCAATGCTCATTACATGATGAGTACTATTATAAACATCACTTTTGACATGATATGGGTAATCTAGATTGAAATTTTTATTTTATATTAATCAAAATAAAAATGCATAAAAAATTGAATTTTTAATAAATATTTTGATAATCAATTTTATTAGTTTAGATTTAATCTGAGTAATCTAATTTAATGTTAATTTTTTATATCTTTTATAAATTAACTGTTCAGTTATATTCTAGACAATCCAAATATAATTTGGACAGTTCAATTTAATATTAAATTTTTTATAATTTTTACAAATTGAGTATTTAAATATACTTTAGATACTCACAATTTAATAATAAGTTTTTATATTTTTTATTTTTCACAAATATAATATTTAAAATATTTAAAAATTAATTTAAAATTAAGGACATAGATCATTTTGGAACAAAATGAGGGGCTAGGATCACCCTTGTGGGTGATGAGCATGCAATGTGAATCCTATAATTTCATGGGTCTTAAGATATTTAACCCTATAAAAAATATCAACCCCTTCCCTCCTCCATGAAAAGATAAAAGAAGCCTAACATATCTAGATATAATACATATACTATGTAATATTATCTCTTATTTTATTTACAAGATAAGAGAATGATTTTTTATTTTATTTATAAATTACATTATTAAATTTTTATCTTATTTTTTATTGAATTGGGAATTTATATTAATAAGGCTACTCTAATAAATTCTTGTATAGATATGAAACAATAACACTGCATCAATTATTTTCCATCCAGTAAAAACATGTCATGTTAGATGATTGTAAATATAAATTAATTCTATCATTGATAATGATAGAAAAATAAAAAAATTAAACATGCACTCTATTCCAAAAATGAAGTATAATTTTATTGAATAGAATATGAATAACATAGTACACTACATCCATGTAAGAATTCCTCAGCTAGTTTAGTTATATTTAACATATGCTGTTAATGTTGCATATTCGTTTATAATTTTATAAAATTTGAATATCTCTCCTTTTTTTTCAGATCATCAACTTATAATAACATATGAAAATTAACTGAAAATATAAACACTCACTGTCACACACACGTATTCTGTATAAATTTTT